GATAGATAGATAGATAGATAGATAGATAGATAGATAGATAGATAGATAGATAATTTGTGTATGTGTGTGTGTATAAATCTGTTCTATCATGTCCGATTCAATAGCTATAAATCAGTGGTTTGGTTGAAGTCATGAGCTTAGTCTGGCCCGTTTTGAAGATACTGAATCAAGAATCTCTTGCATGCAAAGCTTATGGGCTCTACAGCTGTCCAGAGGCATTGGACTACAGCTTCCATCATCCCCAGCAAAACAGGCTTGAGAGGGCCCGCGGTTAGCTTTTATATCAATGGTTTCCCCAGTATACCATAAGCCACTTTCTCCCCCCTGAAATCAGGAGCGTACCTCTCCAAATTTAAAACCTTGTTTTGTGTTTTTCTGCTTTTTATGTGTGAGCCGCCTAGAGTCCCTTGTCTGGTGGCATTCAAGTTTGATTTATAAATAAATAACAATAAATAAATAAAATAAAAGTGAGTTTGAGCTTTCTCGCCCTCCCAGCCGGGTGGGAGGCTTGTCCCGGTAACCCAACGGTATGAATTTTGCAGGAAGCAATGCATAGAGCAGGAGCAGCAGTTTGACTTCCTGAAGGATCTCGTAGCTTCGGTACCTGACATGCAAGGGGATGCCGAGGACAACCACATGGAAGGAGAAAAGGTTTCCAGGAGGTATGTGAGGGAAATTGAGCTTTTTGACCTTTCCCCGCAGCGTGTAATGGGTGGAGGAACTGGAGGAAGAGCAGCAATCAAATCAGTGATTAGATAAGAGAACTCTGAGTCCAAAGCAGAAATGTAATTTGAGAAAGCGTCTCAAAATTGACCCTCCCTCATTCTCTTGCAGCGGGGAAGGGATGGTAGAAAGGTCTATGGAGCTGGAACCTCCAGAACTGCTTCAAGTTAGACGGGCAAATTAAACCAGAACGTACGGCCAGAAGGTTGATGGATCCACACGAAAGCTTTGGGTGCAAATTGGCCTGTTTCTTGTTAAAAGTAGGGACCTGTTATTAAACTGGAGTGGAAAGCCATCCGATTAGCCATGATAATCAAAACCAAACCACTGGTCCACTCTTTTATAAAACCTTATTTTTTCCCCATTCTGGGGCAGGGGCCGGAAACCTGGCAGCGGGCGAAGGAATGGTGGCACGGCAGGAAAGGGAAAGGATCCGAAGCAATCCGGCACAGATTCGGAGCAAGACGTGAGTTGACCGAAAAGCCTGGGCATTTTCTCCCAGAAGTGGCAGGCCAGAGCTGGCGTGACGCAAGCGGAAGACTTGTTCTAGTATCCGACTGGTGGTGCGAAGGGCATACTGCCTTTTTCCCATAATGCTTTGGCTCTCTTGGGTTGGTGAGGGAGGAACAGGAAGTAGGAGCTAGCCCCCATCAGCTCGGTCCCCTGTTAATTTTGCCTTTCTCACAATTCCCTGATTTGTTGCTGCTCCAGAATAGACATCCTTAGGCTGAGGATTTTGAGCCACACCAAACACCTCCCAGAATACTCTGCAGCCCTACAACCAGGGAATTCTGGGAGCTTCAGCCCACCACTTTACAAAGCTGAATGCACCCAGTCTGTGGGCGGGGTCAGCCGCAACAGGGCATTGCTCCAAGCCTGCCTTTTGTTCTCTTTTTACAGGATGACTCAGAAGACAGCGAGAGCAACGGAGAAGAGGAAGTCTTCCAAAATATCCCCTCTACGCAACCAGCTACACATCTCTCTCCGTAAGCTGGCTTTCTTGTTTTTTCTCCACTTTTCTGATGCGGGTTTTGGGAAGATTGTAGGCATTTGCAACCAGAAGAAGTAACAATGGCTGACCGATCTTTCCCCGTCGTGTGTAACGAGCGGAGGAGCTGGAGGAAGCACCGCAACCAAGACAGATAAGAGAAATCTGAGTCCAAAGCAGAAATGTAATTTGAGAAAGCATCTCAAAATTGACCCTCCCTCATTCTCTTGTAGATAAAGGCAGGGGGGGAGAAGCGCTTTCAGACTTGCAAGATCTTGTTACTCTAACCCAGCGTTTCTCAACCTGGGCCACCTTAAGAGGTGTGGACTTCATCTCCCTGAATTCCCCAGCCAGGAATTCTGGGAGATGAAGTCCACACTTCTTAAATTGGCCCAGGTTGAGAAACACTGCTCTAACCCTAGAGTAAATAAAAGTTACTTTTAGTATTCATAACTTTGGTTTCCAAGTCTGGTCAACCTCGAAGGGCTGACAAGTGGGAGAAAACCCGCCCCTGAAAATCTGGACAGCCCACAAACTGATGACCCTCTGTGTCTCGGGTGACACAACATCCTTAACCTTGTGTGCTCTGATTCTTGCTTTCTCTCCCTCCTGCAGAACCCCGGCATCTTATCTACATTTTACCCCCCCTCCGGTATCCGCCGTCTCCTTGCCTGTACCGGCACCAACAGGAGCTGTCCCGGTTGCACTACCACCCACGTCACTCACGCCAGTCCAGGCAGATGAAGAGGAAGATTATGATTCTTAGCCCCCAGTTCCGTTTTCACTGCTGCCATTTGGGGGGTGGGAGGGAGGGAGGGGAAATACAGGGTTTGAAAGGGGCTGTTCTTAAATTTATTAAAAAAGAGAAAAGTCTTACAGGTCATTGTGTGTGTTTC